TGGACTGCTGGCCTGAAATGAAGCGCTGATGTTACTGAGAGGCATCGCCTACTAATCCAACTGCATCAATTAAGAGCCCCAACAACTCAAGAGCAATCCAAGAGGTAAGTTAAAGTTTCCCTGTGAAGTGAAGATTTTCCAATGCTTTACTTTGTAAACTTGCCTGAGTAACAAGTGCGCAGCCTTATTTTCCTCCCCACGAGTCCACAATCAGCATTTATGTGTTTTAGCTGCAAAACTTCTTTTAGAAGGTGGTGGGAGTGAATTCAATCGCATACAAACACGTCTTGGATGCTTATGAGAGAAGCGGATTCTGCAAGTCTTGTGTGCAGCGTTTAGGATGGGCCTTAAAGCTACGGACCAAGGTTGATGTCTGGTAATGTCGATGAGGTATCCTCATGAGATTATAAACTTTCGACTTGCATTGAATAACTACTAGACAAGAGTCTCATGGAATGCAAATAAGGCCTCCAACACCTGATTGTAACCATTTTTTGCTAATTTACTTGTTAAATAACAGCTGGTGTACTCTAAAATTTGTGGCTCAAAGTAGGGGGAGAAATTGCGCACAACTGCAAGGGGCAGAAACAACACACCACAATTCTGAAAGGTAGGATGAGGTAAGCGGAGATCATCGTCCGCGGTACCACGTTGATTGTGCAGACACCATCGTTGCAAGGAATGTTGACCCTAGGGGGAAAGCGTTGTGGTAGCCGGAAACAGTACAACCCTACCTTACATTGTAGGAACGCTGAATTTCAAAATAAAATTGTGAAATTAATCGTGGTGTTGAGCAGCATTTGATTCCACCAATGCATCAAAAGGCATTTTGAAGTCGCCTAATTTGCCACCAACTTACAGATCCTCGAGGCCTTCACAAAGCAGGATAGCCAAGACTAAAATAGTACAAAACCAGTCGATTAGGAGGCCTCATCAGCAATTTGACCGAACCTCTCTCCTGTTGAGAGGCAAAGTTCGGGATTCCCAAATCTGTACGAGGATCAAGACCACCTCAGAAAAAGGTGGTTCTCAAGGCGTTACAATTGTCACACACTTTTTGTATACTTGGAGAGAGCTACACGTGTTGAAGAGGGGATCATTAATATGATCATCTGGTGAAATTCCGATTTGTCAAATTTGACAATCTTGTACAGGTGAGTGTCCAAAGGCAGGCACATGAGAAGGATGCAAAGCAAGCTTCTTATGACAAGCAAATGCGCAAAGTATTGAAAAGTGCTATGAATTTTAAGCGTGCAAAACTAACCTACCCAAACTTACAACATATTAACAGGAGGCTGTGGAACTGCATCTAAAAAGGAGAAATGAAATGGTTTGAATAAGCAAAGTTTGCACAATCATTTCTGATTCTCAATGGACAGGGAGGCATACAACAGTTGCGATTGTTTCGAGAGGGCGTGTTCAGATGGCGAGGACTCAGTGATTGTGAGAAGTCGTGGAGTTTTTGGCTTACAAATTCACAATGTGCAATGGTGGAAGAGTGGAATGTGGTACAATGTGGAGATCAATGCAGCCACAAATGGGTTAGGTTGAGTAAGTTGGGAAGAGGCGTTATCAAGTTTGTACATTTGTTCACTGAACCGATTTTTTGCATTAGTTAAAAATGTGATTTGGTCAATACTTTTTCCAAGTTATGGAAACCTTTGTTCACTCAAATGCAGAAACCCACCATCATTGGGGTAGTATGAAACAAGAGGTGAAATACTGAAAACTCAAGTGCTAAAGCCGATGTAACGTGTTTGATGAGGACAGGACTCACCAACCTATCAAAGCATGAAGTTAAATGAACTCACCTCTCAGGTTTTTTTCATTCTCTCACTTTATTCAATGATCACTCAAATGTAATTGGAGGGCTTTGCCAGAATGCACCAATGCAAGCACCTAAGTCTACCCTCCATTTCACCCACCCTCAACACCATGGCGAAATGTGCAGGAGCACACACATTGAAGTCCAGAGCAGGTGGTAAAGAAATAGTCGTGAACGCCCCTATACCCTGCAAGCATGCCTATAGGATGCTCAAATGCAATTTTATGGAGGCCAATTCCGACTTAAACCCTCAAATTTATTGATCACGGTGCTTGCTTTTCATAAGTGCTGACGTTAGTGCACCTGAGTTAACAAAGTGAACATTAGGAATTTTGTTACTCAACGGTCATATAAGTAATATATCAAAAGCATGGTGAATTTCTGCGGTTCAATTTGGGTGTGTCATTCAAACACAAACAAAAAAACGGCAAGGCAGTTTTACATTGTACATACTAATCTTTCTATCTAAATTTTCTTGACGAAACTCTAAAATACGGTAGTTCGCAGTTGTTTACTTAAAATACGATGCCAATCTGCTGCAGGGTAGGAGGTTTCCGGCATCTTGAAAACATCTACACATCAATGCCAAAGCTTCCACAAGGCGCTACTGATGCAGTCGCTGTTGACAATATCTTTGAGAGTGAATAGAGTATTCAAACTCACTTATTACAGAAAGCGATTTGTCCGTGTCAGTCGCAAGTCCAAATTCAAAACACATTTCCAGCAATGTTTTGCGTTCGAATCGTCTACCTTTGATTACATTAAGTAATGCCATCATAGGCATTCTACACAGCAACAGTATGCAGGACGACTGCCGTTTGCAATAGGCTTGAGCAAGAGCTGCAGCCCTACTTTTTGGAATCCTTGTGGTCCCATGTGAGAATGACGGGTGATGTGTGAATAAATCACGCGCTATGGAAAAGGCAGGCTTTCGAATGCCTCTTTTTTTCAGCCATGAAACTTCAATATCACACAACGATGATTAAATTTGTCGGAAGTATGGGCGCTTTTGCGAGAAAAGTAATGGAGGACAATTATGAACCGCGTTTTATGCAAAAATGCCCAAAGTTGGAAGGTTGAGTTATGCATTATTAGTGGTTCAGTGACCGCAGATGGCATTGAGTTGATTGTTCTATCTCCACTCTCCAGTAGAATAAAAAGCGCTTCTAACTTGTTTGCAGCTTTAAAAATGCCAGGTCATTGGGGTTGTATAGGAGCAAACAAACTCCAATACAAATTACCATGTCGACAAAGCTGAAGCAAAATAATTCAGGCGTTATATTATTACACAGACATGATGAAAACTAAGCCGTCGGCAGATGTCAGCATCGCCCGATAGGTGCCAAACCGACTGCTGCGACGAAAGGGACGAGGGACGTATAGAGAGCTGATAAACAGGACAAAACTAATTACTTGCAATAAGTTTGCCTTTGGCGTTGAAGGAATTGTAGCAGTAAACACGACCGCGGAACAGCGATCATGAGCGTCCTTCAGTCTGGTCCGTGAATCGGGCCCAAAAATACAACCGTAGAAAAAGCAGCAAATGCCAACGTCGCACGGTCCCCATCTTTTGTATATAACTAACTCTCACGCTGCCATCGGATTGCCGCTCCATTAGGCGCCATAGAAGACACTAAAATGAGGTGAGTTAAAAGGATGTCGGGTAAATTGGTATGAAAGGAGGCCAAATGGAGTTGCTGATTGTGTCCAAGATGATGTGATGAAATCACATTTGATTTTGCGCCTAGGTGACAAGCTATCGTTCTGATCTGCAATGCTGGGTTGGACTCTTCATTTATTTGACTATCTACATGGATATTGGTCAGTTTGATGACAGTCCTGCTCATGCCAGGTAAGCTGACCTTCGAGCCACGTTACAGCCACCCAACCATTCGTGCTACCTGAATAAAAGCACTCAACAATTGTATTGTGCCTTTGAACACCCAATGAGAAGGCTAGGATTACTAGAGTCAATTTATCGGATGGCATATTTTGATACGCTCACGCCTTACGGAGTCACCTGAAACGAAAAATGCGTGCTTCGTAGCAATCATAATTATTCAACCGCAACATGTGTCAAACTTAGACATCTGCAGAGGTTCCTAGGCACTAAGTTCAAGAAAATGTCCAGTGTCCAAAAACAGTTATTCGATTTTATAGGAGACATGGTTGATCAAGGTGTCGCGATTTTGCGCATGCGTACGATTCATAGCCCGTTTGTACACCGTGTCAAATTGTGTAGCCATTTAATCGTTAGAGCTTGCACATCCACCCAGCTGTGTAGCTATGATAGTAGATTCTCTAACATTCTGATCATCATTATGGTAGCCTCTATGCTGCTATCGTCTGACCTCAACATCTATCTTCATTGAAATATTTAACTTGGTACAATGGTACACAGTATGGGGGACGGGCTAAGGGAATGAAATAAGCAGAGAGAATAATTACTCGACCGGGCCCAAGCCAACTCTTCTCGATAGCACAGTGTTTGAGCAGGATTCGAGCTCTAGCATTAGTGGTGCAACTAAACAAAAATTTGTAACACAAACAAAGCATACTACCATAGTTCTGAGACCAGGGTCAAGCTATGCATGGCTAACGCGTGGTATACAAAATTTCATACAAATGCCCTATCAGGGAATTAGTATCATTTGCACAATATTCAAGACGTTCAAGGTGAAAGGGATTTTATGTCTGGAGGAAATTGTACACTCTTGCATAAATACAAGATTGGAACAGCAAGAATTGCGTAGGTATATGCATGATGGGCAAAGATAGTGAGAAATAATTTTACCACGAAACCACTTGTACTATTAAAAAGGAAAGATCGGATGTTGCATGAGTCAAAAGCGACGCCATGAAGCCAAGTTAAAAGCGTAGATTCCCAATTGCTGCAAGAAAATGTGCAGCCATTGGAGGTGGAAAAATGGTAAAGCGTTGCAAACTAAGTCAAACACGAAGAACTATTTCAATCGGGCATAATTGATGCGTTTGTATGCAGGATATACAATGAGCTTACAAGTTTCTACTCATAACAAAATGCATCAATTAAAGATATAAAAAGTGCATATAAATATCATTTGAAATTTAAATTTTACAGTGCCCTGTGCTCTTGTTTTAAATGATCGTTTTTCAGCGTATCGTTTAAAAAACAAATCTTAGGTTTTTGCTTGGGATGTTCTATGCTCACTTCGTACTTAGTAAGAAAGGCCCATTCTCTCGTATATGGCTGGCAGCTCATTGGGACAAGAAACTCACAAGGGCTCATGTCTTTGAAACTAACATCAATTCCAGTGTAGAAGCTATTTTAGAGCCCAAGTTAAAAATGGCTCTCAGAACATCTGGCCATCTTCTCTTGGGCGTTGTTAGGATTTATTCACGGAAGGCGAAATATCTTTTGGCGGACTGCAATGAAATCTATGTAAAGATCAAAACCTCGTTCCGCCCGGGTGTCGTTGATCAACCAGATGATTCGAACCGTGAAGCTGCCTTAGCTGCGATTAATTTGCCTGAAAACATTCAGGATTATGAAGCCACAATGGCTGCCCTAAAGTATGTGCTCTTATTTTTCTCAATTGATATTTAGTGCCATTAATCTCAACACAATGAACATTAATCAAAGTCGTCCAGAAGACATTACGATGCGCGAGGATTTTGGGGATGTGAATTTGGGTCGTATTGATGATGACTTCGGAGAAGGCGCCTTTGAGGAACTACCCAGTCGGGAAATGTTGCGAGGAAGTGATGGTGCCTATGACAGTGTCTATGGACGAGGTACAGACGCCTCAGGTCGCTTTTCTGTTCGCGAATCCGACAGACCTTCGATTCGAACCGATATAGATGCTGATGATACATTGATTGGTGCTAAAGACAAGTCCGATAAGGTTGTCACCGGCCTCACTCCGGCAGCTGATATTGGTTTGGATGACGACGACTTTGTTGAACCCCTCTATGGTAAGCCATCTGGACCCCTCCTGGTAGCTCTTGTCATCTATTTGTTGCAATGTTTTTATTTCACCTCGAAAAATCAGCAATCTGGTTAAAAGTATCTTAATGCCAAACGTTGTTTGCCCTAGCTGGGGATTCAGACGGTAGTTTCGGTGGGGATATAGAGCCGTCAATTTTCAACAATCCTGCTCTGTTTGAGGACGCCACAACTACCAATCAGCTAGCCACTTTGGCTGAAGGACTAACGCTGTCCGCTGAGCCGGATGCAGCGGCTGCTGATGGAGGGATAAAGGAAGGCGGACCCTCTTTAATGGGCGTCGAAGTTATGGCTACTCTCGGCTCAAAGACCAACGGTGCTGCGCCACAGGTTTCCGACCAGCCGCAGCTTCAGTCCCAGCCTCCCTCTAGTATGGCCCGCAACGTTTCTAACGACTCCGAGGCTTTCGCTCTCATGCCCATCGACGTGCCTACTGCCGTTACGGAACCTCGTCGGTTAGTTTCGATTTCCTCTTTATCTGTAATTTTACTTGATGGCTAACTTATACACACTGGTACACACCACTTCAGTGCTGCCAAACGGAAGCGACGTTTAATCATTGATGAGTTGAAATCAATTCCAAGTGACCTCATGAAGACTCAGATGCAGGACACTTCGGAGATTGTCACTCAGTTGGACCTAGCCCCACCCACGAAACGTCTTATGCGAATGAAAGAGACGGGTGGGTTGGACAAGCTCTTCACCCTCCCCGGACGCTCGCTTCCCTCGCGGATTCTTCAGCGCTTGTTCTCTCGTAACCTCCGCACCCAACCCGTCACCGATCCCATTGGACAGGACGCTACTGCCTCCCTACTGGCCCCTGACGAAAGCCGTCCTCATATTTTCTTCCGCTCTAACGCTTCGGGTCCCGCAACATCGGCCATCGAAGACCAGCTGCTCTCAGCAGCAGCTACTCCAAGGGTAGGCTGTGCATTTGACTTGTCTGCTGTGCATTGCCCATTTTTGAAGGCACCATTGTAGACTGATTTGTATGACAGGTGAATACGCTTTTGAGCTTCATGGTAGACCCTCTACCAATATGCGGAAGGCTTGAGAAGATGGTAGCCCAAACAATACGCAGGGAACTACATGGCGTTTTGACTTTCATCTGAATTACAGAAGTGGGAGTTAGCATTTTACAATTTACGACTATGACGTTCATTATCCTCTTGGTTTACTTTTCCTTCGTGCGCATTTTTCGCGCTCCGTGTTCGCTCTTCCGCTTGGAAGGTAGCTCTGGGACTGGAATTGATATTGCACAGTCGTGCTTTATAAAGGCAAATAAACTTGGTTTAACTGGCATCCTTAGCTGCGAATCGCGTCGTAAGAATTTGCCTGCCTTGCGTCAAGGCGAAAATGTGCATTTGGCTTATCTACAGCTTCTACCGGTACTGATTGCCTTGGAGCGAGCCAATCACAAAAACGCGTGATTGAGTAGCTTCCCGAAGGAGTATTTGGGATCGTTTCTTTTCCTTTTTTTCACTCGATATTGTTGGGGTGCCAATCTAGGTTGGTTTGCCTTTTTGTAGTAACATGCTTCATAGTTTTTCGTCAATATCGGTAACTTTTTGTAAGGACCTTTAATTCGTTTGAGTAAATGCTGTTTTGCTGATTGGGATAGTTGTTCAACGTGGGAACAATTTTGAGAACTAGCGTTGGCAACTGCCGGTTTATGCATTTAGGGCAGTTCCAAACCCATGGCCTGTACACGGCGTTTGGCTGCTGTTCGCATTTGGTCTACTTACCGACACTATTTAGTGACCTAATCATATACGCGAGTATAGTGTTTACAAGTTCTCAGGTTGTGAACGAATGGCAGGTTAAAGATTTGCAGCATGGAGGATGTGAATCTGGCGCTATTGATACACATAGGAAAGTCAATTAGCATAAAGTAAAATATTCGCCCTTTTATTCTACGGGACCTGTTTAAACAGTGTTTTTTTCTTTTCCAAAAAAGGATCTTCTGTCAAGTTCTGGCTTCCATGCGGGAGCACATCAGCAAGAAGGTGCCCTTGGTCTGGGTACCATATCCGAGGAGACCATCTCCGCAAACAATCAGTCCGGTTTTCCCGGTTACCCTCCCACTTCGTCAGATCATAATCCACACCGTCAAGGTGATAAGGTCACTGTTGGTCTCCACAACGAACATCATCACGATCCTTTAGGTACGTCGATAAATGAGGAGTCCTTATCAGCTATCACTTTTACGCTAACCGCAAACTTCCCTTTCATACTAACACCAGGTGTCGTGGTCGTGGTAGGTCGTTAGTTCAGTTTAGTGTTATCGTTTTATTAAAAAATGTTATCAAAAAAAACGTGATAAGAAACTCATAATTCTCTTTCGTATGTTTAGTTGAATCTGTGGCTAGCCTTAATTTCCCTTATCTAGCCGACAACACCCTCACCAATCTTCATGATCCTTTTCTGGCGGCTACTGCTCGTCCAACCGACATCCCTGAGCACCACCACGTGCATCCAGGCGCAAGTGATGACGACGTGGAAGACGATGACAATGATTTCCCACTTGATGCTCATTATCTTGGACCCCCTTCGGTGCTCTCTGAGGCCTCACAGGTACTCTCCTTGCGGAAAGCGTTTTACCAGTGGCATTAATAGTCTCCGTTCCTACCCTTTTACATCTCCCAACTTCAGGGTATCCTGTTAGAACATGATTTAGATGGAACAGGAGACCGCGGGGGTCGTGGGTCACGCGGGGGCCACGGATTAAATCTGGTAAGTGAGTTCGGTGGATCAAGGGATGACGAAGACACGGTGCCAGCTGTGCCCTCCGATTTGGGCCGTGACGTGATAGAAGGCGAGGAGATTGAAGAGGAGCGACGCTTGGAGAAGCGTTCTAAGGACATGCTTCGCCGATTGCGAGCACACGTTGCGCAGCACGGCTGGGGTGAAAACGGCATCTCGTTGCAGGCAATGTGTGAGGGAAACAGCAAGAAACAGGTGAATAATGTTTGATCCAAGTGTTATGGATCCGTGTGACGCTTCATCTCTTTTCAACTAGTGACATCCTTTCAAGTGATATTCATGTGATCATCTGCATATGAAAACCGGCCTTTCGAAATAGACTCTCATTATTGAATGGTAGAACTATAGACTCTCAAGGTTCTCTTTTCTGTACTCAACGGATTGAATTTTTTTGGAAAGTGATGACGTGATAATTCTATCCTCCCACCCAAATTCAGTGCCCAATTCTTGTTTCCTCTATCTGTCTTTGTGATGCATTTTGTAGGCGGCCTCCAAGTTTTACACAATGCTTCTCCTTCGGAAGCAAGGCTCCGTACGGTTGTTCCAGGATGCACCTTACTCGGACATTCGGGTGTGTCGAGGTCCTGCATTTGTCGGACCCCCGGAGGCGTGATGGCAGCGCTCCCTCCAATCCACTCACTGTAACCTTCTATGTATCCCCTGACTTTGTTTTACATAGCGCTCCTGTCTATTAACATCACTCCACTCCAAGATGTCTTGCTTTATCCTTTTATTATCGTAATCCCGTACATGCACATTCACGTATGCATTCAGGCGGACATCAGTATGTATGTATTTCTAACGTATCTGTTCCACTATTTGTAACGATTTAGTGATACAGTTGTTCAGATTTTACAAATTTGACCTCCAGCAGCTTCGATTTGTCGGGTTCTTTTGAAAAGACGTTATTTCGAATGAGATTTTTTAGTTATTTATATACCTAAAATAAGCGCTTGAGGATGACTCCCGGCCTTTTTATTGCTAGCACATCTCAGGCTAATTATAACTCGGATAACGTATATGCCTGTGCCAGTCCTTCGCTTTCAGGACCGCAATATTCTGAGATGGACAATATGTAGAACAGAAAAGCATTCGGAGTGGAATCATTTAGACCACTCTCAGGTTATTTGGCTTTAACAACATCACGATGGATGCAAAAAGTTGCAAAGAACTGGTATGACGTGTGAAAAGGAAGCCATTCATTTATGAAAATTTGTCAGAAGTTCTGGAAGCAAAATTTGCCTGTAAGTTGCCAGTGAGGGGAGACTGGTTGATTTCATTGAGTACTTCTCCGTTTGAAGTTTGTGGCGTATGCAATTCCTTGCCGCGTTGGTGAGAAAAGTAACGGCTTTGTTCTTGGAGAGCTTAAAGTGCGCCATAAACGATACCATCACTGTTTAGCGAGAACCATTACTACTCGTAGACCACTAGCGGGGTGATGTATCATCACAATTCTACACGTATTATCTCAAATGGGTATCAAAGGCTTGTCACATATCTTTCAAATAAGTTGTTCTGGGGTCAGAATAGTGACTGTGGTTATGACAGCTTACATTATCCACGATCCTTTGCAAGAAGACATATGGGCTTCCTGAGGGGACTGGGTTAATTAGATGTTGAGCATAGAAAATGACGAGTTCCTGTAAAAGCTTTTCATCCAGATCTGTAACCACCAGCGCCGATGTGTTTTCCAAAAGCTTGAACATAAAAGTTTTAAGTGAAACTATCAATGTTTGAATGAGTGCCCTTTGCACTACTGTTGATGCATGATGTGGTTGAGCCCACCCATAGGACTCAATCAACAGTACAATTTTACACAGCTGGAGGTCAGATCAAGCCTAATTGTTCCTGAAGGGTATTGGTTTGCCTGTCGAGATCTATATCCTGAGAGGAGATACTATAATTGTGGACTCAAGAACGAAGAGATATAGAGTAGTAATTTGCAAAGACTGACAACGTTAGCAAGCTATTATTTGAATAAATGACTTTGCTTTGAGTAAATACACTCACTCAACTAGAAGTGATGCCGAATACGTAGATGTTGTAAATTACGATAAAGTGCAAGGAATGTCAAATTCTAACGTTAATGTCCAATTGAGACCGGTCAACAGGTTACGGGAAGAGCCGAATGTTTTTTTGCTTTTAGCACAACCTACCTCGGCTAAGAAGGCCAAAAGGGACGGTGAGAAGGGGAAATTTTCATTATCAAAGTTCTCCAACTGAAAACGTTCAATGATGATACTATTCCAGATGGAGTCTCCAAAAAGGGGGCCTAAAAAGAAAAATAGGCTGCAGTTCTACAGCAGTTTGCACTGTTTTTGATTTTATAATATAATTCAGCATGCTAACCCTCTTTGGGGGCGTTCGCTTTAACCATCTCCTCACTACCTTGACTCAGAGTTCGCCCAAACAGAGCCGATATGATGAGCCGGAGTGGGTTCAGAGTAGCATCCATCAGGTTAGAATAGAGTGCTATTAACAACTGAAAGGCAATTGGTACATATTGGTTTCGTTAATAAGAACATGCAAACAATACTGATTGTAAAACGTATAACTGATGTGCTAACCTCAAAAAACTTGAAGAATGAAAGAGTTGCCACATTTCAAACCCAGTCAAATTTAAACGAACGATCAGAGTATATTTACTAATTTTGCTAAATGAAGTTAGATTTAACCATTTGATCATAAGACTACACTAAGTTGCTAAGAACTGATGAAATTGAATCAGCACATTCATTCTATGCCGACATTCGCAAATTCTTATACCCTTGCGCGGTTGACCACTTTGCGGACTCGCGGATCTGCAAACATACTTGGAAGTTTACTTCGATTCTACGGCAACAGTATCATAAAAAGAGTTTGACTGAAGGTGGCCAATTGGGAGAGATAATGCCTCCAAAGCTTGAGTAAATTTTAACAAGACAGACCTGGAAGTAGAACTTGCAGTTTGGAGATTCCTGATAAGATGGCCAAGGTCCCATCAGAAGGCCCTTGGGCGCGTATAGGAGCAAGAGAGTTGCGGAACAGCAGGCGCGGAGTGACACTCTTGCTGGTGCCTCGCCCTTGATCGCACGCAGGAGGACGTCAGGGATAGCAAATATGGGCTGAACAGAGAACAGAGAATAAAATATGAACTCTTACACTTATACCACCATACTTATACAAAAATCAAAAGTTGATTACTTGAATACATGCTATCAGCTCAAGCCTATCATCAGTGATAACTTTGCTGGAAAATCTTGCCTATCGCATGTATTTTAGTTCTTTATGGATAGAGATCCAAGTATGTCAAAATGCGTTCGACTTACACAATAAACGTCTTCTGCACCCTTTGATTTAAATGGAGTAATTTTCGTGTAGAGACCGCTGGGACCTTCTCCAAACATAAGCATAGTGCCAAGCACGCAAACTTCTTCCATGAGAAGATAGTTCATAGTTTTCATAGTCGAACGCTCAGCGTACATCCAGGAGGCTTTTGTGGCACCAATCCGCTCAATGATGTGAGGAGTGACTAAAATACTTCATGGCGTGAGGCGCAGCACATAACAGAGAATTAAAAAAACAAGTAAAATATGAAACGATGTGGATGGATTTCACACAGTCGGAAACAATGCAACACTCAGCCTAACTAAAGCCGAAGTAACATTTGTGTAAATGATTTCCCGTTGATTTTAAGCATCCAAATTGAAAAAATTGAAGTCTCATATAATATTCTTTATCAAAAAGAATAAAATCCCTAAGCAATTCTTTTAGAGTGGCCAAACTAACCTCTTTATACAATTCGAATTCAGTGAAGCTGAGGAGAAGAGAAGACTCACCCTGACTTAGACCGATTTCACCTGTCATCAAGAGGCAGGTGTTAAGGAGTTTTAATAAATCAATGAGATTTCCCGAATCTTCACACCTTGAATCAGTCAGAAGGGTGGCGACTAAAATGCACATTACTGTGAGTATCAAGAGGAGAATATATGCTTGCATGGCTACCGTATAGCTTTGGATGAAGCGTGGACGTAACACCGTTGGTTTAAATTTATTATGACATCAAGAAACAACTTCGAACTACCTAAATTAGGGCAGCTATTATCAAGTTGACACTTTATAACAGACGTTTACAAAAATGACAAAATTATGTATCGAAATGTTTGGGGACTAATAACAGCTGCAAAACAGATTGGTCTATGGTTCACAACATCCCAGTCTTCACCTCACTCACCTATTTCAACAAATCGGTTAAGGCAGGCACGATTGAAGAATAAACCTTCCAAGCGTACCACAAGAGTTAGCATACGAAGGAAGTTTATCCGAAATGCATCTATGGGTGAGAAACGAAATGAACTTCGTGGATAAGCATCATGAAAATGATTTATACGTTAAGCAACTGAGCACAATTGACTAAAAAAAAAATTGAGATATCGTGAAAAGTCCATTTGACAGCATCTACGGGAAGCTATTAGTAGGGAGCTGAAAACACTTACTAGAAAACTAAAAGCGAGATGAGCACTTATATCACTGAAGCTGCGAGAAACTCATAATTGTTACGTCGCCACACCTTAACTCAAAACAGAGTCTTAAACCGACCCAAAAAAGTTGTTAGTCTTCAACTTTGGTGAAATCCTTTCAAAGTAGATAAGTTTACAAAAGATGAGACCCAAATGTCAATTGAAATCCGCCACCATAACCATTAATGAATCCCAAACACCGAATCGATTGCTGCAATAGAAGCTTACCGGATTCGAAAAATAGAGTACAGACTTGAATCTCCAACTTAATTGGAAGCTTCACGAACTGTTCTGCCACAAATAACGCTAGTCGTTCGGCTCCAATGGGCTGCGGTGATTTCTCAAATTCCTTTGAAGACACTTCCCCATTCCAACATGCTCTTGAGTGCTAAAGTACAAATTTAAACAGCTACAGGGTTATAGGTGAAATAAGTTTAGGATTTTAAAGACTTATCGACCATATTCAACACGTATAGCTGTTTATGAAGTCGAGTACTACCTATAGTCGACCAAGTAGATGGTCCAATATGAGGCAGACTTTCATTTTAGGGTTGACAGATAGGCTTGCCGGCAGCGTAACCGTAAAGGATGAGAAATCGCTCAGTGCACATAACTTATCGCAACGTGAAAGAACCTGCACTTGGACAATCAACACTCAACTTACTTCAAGCGACGCACAGCCGTTTTCGAAGGTTTCACTAAGCCGCCGAACCACATTCTGACGCTCAAGGTCACGAAGCAATGGAAACCAAACAGACTAGGGACGGTTGTAAGAATTTAGTGATTTAATCAAAACACAAAACAGGATATCGGTGATGACCGTACCCAAATTATCGAAAGAAATTCGTAGTTTAGGGGAAGCTTCTCAATGAAGTCAAGCCTCGTAAGCTGTTCCTGCGAGTGACAATGATACGTCTAGGAAGCAATATAGTGAATTATCCCTTGGATAAACAAACCATAAACTTAATAAACTTACTATTTTTTGGGCCAAGGTCGTCCAAGCCGGTTCTCCCAAAAGCAGAAGCTCAGGAAAACCTTGAACCTCAAGCAGTAGAGCAGTTTGCAAGAAAGATATTCGATGAATAAGTGCTTCAATGAGCAAGCAGGAAACTAGTTTAGATAAGTTAATGGTAACACAGCCCACCTTCTGTGCAAACAGAAGACCACTGTAGTCCAATGCGCTTGACCACCTAAATTAGACGTCATGCATCAACGTTGGACTCACCGCAAGTGTAGCTAAACACTCAAAAGCGAAGAGGGACGGCAGCTCTTGGAAACGCCTTGAACCAGCTCGCAGTACGCACTTGTAGAGGCTGAAAAGTAGGCTAGCAACCCTGAAAGCAAAATACACATTTTTCAGAAGATACTAAAGTAGACATCGGGCATTCTGATCCTGGATACGATGGTTGAATGCAAATTTACCTCTCCCTAGTTTCTATGTCGTTAAAGTCAGTGCTTGAAAAGTCAGTGCAACGAATCAAAACAGTGGCGACTATCACAGTCGCTGGTAAGATTTTCCCAGCATCCGATTCCGAGTCCTCAATTGTTTGGCAGCATAGATGACCCAGGAATAAGGCAACAGTTTCGACACTACCTCCTAAAATAAAGCAGCGCGCATCGCATTACGTAGAGGAAGCAACATTAAAAAGGAAGTCGACTATTGTTAACTCCGAAATCCTCAGTCGCCTGAAGAGGTGTAAGCGATACCTGGTACTCGGGGGATACCACCAAGAGTCAAGGTCCAGAATCTCGCACATTCAGAGTAAAACGAATGCTCTTTAATTCCCAATTTATCATCCGAAAAACTGAGGCATCCAGTCGCAACCACGTAAGCAGTAAGTTGCATCAAGTAGAGCATGAATGTTTTTGGATTATACGGTTCTAAAAGATCTCTGATTTGGGGGTTCATTTTTCATCACCCACAATAAACATTCGCACCTTATATTTTCATCGCGCATGCTAAATCGTTCCTGTTCATCAGAAAAATTGATTGGATGTTTGGCACACAATAAAGTGTCAATGATCAATGGAATAGTTATCTTAAAGACCGTACGAATGTTGATGTCAAAAAGAGCGTGTGAATATGTGCTTGCTTTGCCCCAGCAAGTAGCACCACACTCGATCAGCTCTGCATGTGAAAAGCCTTTTTTCAATACTCTTCTTGTAAGAATAAGCATTCCCTGTAAAATTTCAGCTGGAGTTCCTTCTCGTGAAAACATTTTCTAGAAATTAACATTCAGTAAGAACCTACTTACCCAAATGAGTTCAAGTGGAAGTAGAAAGTACAATGAGTTTAAGGCTCTGCTAAGAGCTGCAAGTAAAGTCTGATTTGATTCATCATCCGCAAAATCATCACTCAAGAACAATAACAAACTGAATGTTACTTTAACGACAAAATGCCTACTTCCCGAGGTGGATTTGTACACTAATTGCAAGCGCCAAGGATTTCATTATATCGCTTCCAATTTTTCGTTGATCTTCTTTTAAATTAACACTTGAAAATGGAACGTCCAGAATGTTTCCCATGGCTAAATTTTGCTGACATATTGACTGCTTAAGACGATCACCATAGGCTATCACACAGTTCGTGAATAGCTGAAGAGGAAATGGTCGGCAGATCTGTTTCGATCTATGGAGAAAAGGAGGCTAATGCAAGCCGGTTTTACTTTAAAAAACTGCAGAAGCATATAGAGGTTTCACTAAAACTCGAATCCAGATCAGCGAATTCTGTGTGAATCACAACGAAAAAGTTCTCAATTGTGCTTAGGCTGCAAAACAGTTCAAAGGATCCAGTATACCTGAAGAAAGGCATAGGTGCCATGAGTTCACTCAACATACGCTCTGAATATGTGTTCAAGGACTGCTATTGACGTCCTCCTATAGATCGTTTCGTCCCTTTTATCGACTTTAGCAGTAAGTATTTTTTCCAAAACTAAGGGTGAACAAACTAAGAAAATCATGAAACGAACCGTAAGATACGAAATTTTTTGACATAAAGAAGGTGGAGTTAGACAGTAACTTCAAAAGAGTTAAAGCATTTCTAAGGAAATAGTCAGAAAATATAGACTTACCTGGCAACATCCAGCTTGCTTGAAAGGCAGTCACAAACAAATTCTTGTGTTAGAAAGGAAAATTTAGGAGCGAGTGAGCATTACCCAGAAGCCCTGTTTCGTGCAAATAGATAGCAACATTTCCATCCTTCTCCTCAGATAAAAGGACTACGAGGAAGGAAAGTGCGATACAGCGAAGGCTGGCCTTGTGCGAAGTGAGGAAAAGACTAAGTATTTTTGGAAAGTCAGGATTTGTGATTATACAGTTTAATGCCCCAGGAAACCTTAAAACCAAGTGGATGCACTCTAGACGCTGAAATTGTACATCAGTCTACGTACCAAATGCATTCTGATAAGTCGCAATATCGTCCTGGGGAGTGCATAAGAAATCTAACAGAATGTTGCAGCAGCTCGACACAGAATTGTAATCCAAACAATCCATATGCCTCAAAAGAATACCAAGGCAGTAGGCTGCACTTCCTTGAAGACTCTGATTTCTGACTTTTAGCTGTGGCAGAATGCATTCAAATATCATATCTTGGAAATATAAACAATAGTTGTCGTCTTACGCGGTGCATTTTCCCAAGCAATTTCATGGTTTTCAATGATATCGGCTAGAAGAATGAGCGCATTACACTTTCCACTAAGATCACGTTCATCAGTGTCCTTCAAAGTGAGAGTACAGGCAGATCGTAAAGGAGACAGTACGGTTGTAATTAGACTCTGGTCAACAATTAAATGTCGAAGCAATGCAGAAATAACTACAAAAAGTGGCAAGCAATTTGAACACACTTTTCATTAAGAGTGAAGCATAAGTATCTCTTTCAAGCAGATATGTATCTGAGAAGATTAGACTAGATTAAGTAAACTTACTCCATAAAGCCCCAAACGCTGTAATAAACAGCTGAACATTCTGACCAATATTAGGACATTTACTGACAAATTTGTTCAATATATTTAAAAAGTATTCTCCATCTTCGATACGTTCTGTTACGTGCTTTGTCTTAGCGGTCAAGCATTCGACTAAGCAAACAATGCAGACAACTTGTGAATCATCATGAGATGATCTCAATTTAACATCTTCTCGGTGCAAACAAGTCATCCTTCACGATATCACGTCGGTAAAGCGAATCTCGCTACTTTCTGCCAAAACATTAAAAGTGCATTAAAAATATGACATTCGAATGACAAGTTCAAAACCAGGTTTTGAGCAAGACTTTAACAAAGCCATGTTAAATATACTAAAATTACACGCGTTCTTTACACTTTCCTTTTTAAAAAATAGTCTTCCCAAATTTATCCTGAGTTGCGGTATGTTACTTCTCCTTCAGAAATCTCTTTAATTACATTAAAGATGATCAAGTTGGAAATCGATTCGAACCAGTACAAGCAAAGGCACAATGTCTGAATTGTTTGTCGCCTCTCTTCTTAAATACATTTAGGAATCAATGAACTTTGTCGTAATACTTTGTTTATGTGACCACCTGATGTCTAGTATTAACTCTAAGATTCGTCTGGCCCTTGTACGTATGACCTGGGCTTGGCTTCGGACTATGTTCAAGCTTAGCTCTACTTAATGCTTTTTTCTACCTCTTGAGAAATCTAGAGACGTTACGTTTATGCTACCGAGTAGCAGATTTCGCATACTAGCAACGCAAGAACTTTTCTTAAAGCCAACTTTTATTACATCCAAAATTATTTTCAAATTTAAATTTGTTTATTCTTTTCCGCCTATGCGTTTGCAGATCAGTTAAGTAGACTCTCCATACCTTCCATTCGACGACGAAAGACATATGACCTACCTTTAGCATGATCTGAAGCTCACCACCCGGCAAAAGCAGAATGGTCTTCAAAAGTTTATCGTTCAAACAGATAGTCTGTAGCGTTCCGAAACTTCCCATAGGGTGGAAGAGGACAGTGAGTGAGGCTGGCCTAAGCATGGCCCGAAGGCTAGCACGTGTCCAAGAGCCAGACAAATCCTCAAGTGACCGCAAAATGTTATGTGGTCACATAAAAAAGCATTTCACAGTCTATTAATTATAAACAAATCAAAACAAATCAGTACAGCATATCGTTTGGTGCTTAGAGCTTCTGTATACTTTTTAAGAAGCATCCATGTCTTTTAATAGACAATGCATTACCCAGTTCACAGTCTTCAGTTCTAATTTCTGAATAGTGCTATTTTTGCATGCTTGAGTGGAAAAATTGCACACATATCCTCCTGCCACCGGTAGGTAAGATCGTTGTGCTCTCACCAATTTCATTTTCTTATTTCGGTTGCAAAACAGGATTGAGATTACCAACACCATAAAACGTAATCATGATGTTGGCCGCTCTTTTGGGGTCGACGATGTAGCACCTCGAGACTTGCTGTTCGGTAGAAGGGGGAAAAGGGATTAGGCTTTGAATTGCTCTGGAGGTCAGCCCACGCACACGGGAGCGAGACAAACAGTAAGACAACCGGCAGACATACAGGCGGCCACATAAGCAAATTATTGCAGGCAACTCTACAACGGTCGCAAATTTGTCCACTCAGCTCATTTGTCGCCAAACGGATATCCATTTAATAACCAAGATTAAACTCTTGTTAGTTCACATTATTCGTTGACAGCTAAAAATTAGCATGGGATATGAGAAGCTGTGTTTATTTTTGACTAAAAAACTGGCTTGCTCACCGAGGAAAAAATACACTGCGGTATTTATTACGGTCATTTTCTGGAAGTACGCAAGTTTTGGTCCAGAGGCTTCAGACCCCTAAACTAGGCAATAAAGTGGGCTATATCCAGAAAAATTTTCTTTGTTTAATAACTGAAGTTTTTTCTTTAATGCTTCCTTAATATCTCTAGCACATATAACTTTTTATTGCTGTTACTCATCAATGAAGTTGTGTTTTTGCTGTATCCTCATCATAAAACGTACATTAAGGCCCGGTACACGACCTCTGCTGTCATTTGAGGTGCGCGCACCCTTTCAACGGAGTTGGGGTTAGGCTTCGTAATGATTTGCGTTACTTATTGGCAGGATTGCGAGCTTTGGCGTTTGCTTTTCATGCGCTTCGTCTGAGGAGAAATGCGGAATCTCGTGCCTTCAACAAACTTTGCTATCCCCAGGGCTAAGGTGAGATGAGTTTTCCCCGACGGAGAGCTTCCTTAAAATGAATACAAAATCCAGAGTAAATCACTTGCATGTCAAATTTAGCTGTAGGTCAAAGTACTACTTTCGGTTTTTAAAAACTTTGATGCTTGACTTAATGATTTTTATTTTAGAGGTTAGGCTTATTACGTCCAGTGCAATTCCTTTATCTCTAAATACCACACGGTACTCATTTTTGCATCCCGAACTGGCTCATTGTTTAAGTTTGCCCCATATCCCATGTAATCATTTGAATAATGCTCCGTGGGTTAAACATTTAGCTCAATGAGTGAAGGTGAGCACCAGAGCCGATTGATCCTCTTGTTGATCCCACTCGAGTTGAGGAATAGTGGTCACCAATGTTTACATCGCTGTTCTCGTCTCTCTTATTCTTTTCAATATTTGCACAGCTTGCATCCTTCATGTTTCTTCACCCTTCATTCATTTATTCTTGGCATTGCCTATTTTAAGCTCCTCTCTCGGTTGCGTTCCCCTTCCTTTCCTTGTAATGTCCGTGTCTCAGCTCTACTGCAGATTGACTTCGCGGTGCCCAAGCACGTTATCGAGTAGTGTAGTTGGTTTGTAATTCGTCTTCGATGCCTGAGGTCGTGAATGTCCACAGTGGAGTGACTTTGGGGTGTTTTATGGTTGCTTCTGAAAGCAACGTGCGGTTCATCACTGAGCCACAACGAGTTGACTCCGAATATTACAACTTCTATTTTATGGCTGGGTTTTGGTCTTCAGCATAAACCCAAATTAGAAGAGTGACAGGATGTCATGGTACTCCGCACGTTCTACATTTCAGTGAAATTAGCGACGAACCGTGCAATACTTTGTTTATATGACAACCTGTATGCTTGGCGATGACATTGCTAATCATTCTACTCCTTTACGCGTGAATTGGCATTCTGACCAAGTCATAGCATAATTTCACCTCCTTTGCTTTGAATATATGCGCTGCACCTCAACCTAGCGCCCCCTTCGACCTAGTGGAAAGTCTCAGAAAGCTACAATTTGATTTGGAGTAAACTTGCATTGCACCGTACTTCCAAATTCTCGTAGAAAATGGTATTGCGAATGAAAGTGCATCTCTAACTATTCATACCGAGATTCCAGATGCCTACACTGATTTGAGTCGAAATAACACTATCCACCGTTCTTATGCAAGCGCACGCAATCTGACGTACGTGCTATCTGTCAGTATCTTAAGAAGATTTTGCTCTTTGACCAACTCCATGTATCTACTGCCGCTGGATCCACTTTAAAAAGCTACAAAAATGTCAGTACACTCACAGTTGCCACTTACACACATAAACCGGTTGTAAATTGGCCAGAATACCCTCGCGACTTACCGTGATTGCGGACAGCGACCTACACTGTCGGCTTTGAAAGCCAATCAAATAAGTGCATACACAAAAATAAGGCGTTTTAGTAGTTTACCTTAGCAACAACCCCTATGTCTAAGTTTTTGATTTTGTTTCTGAAATATTCGCTATCGCATAAAATTGTGCACAAATTGAAATCATAAACTGAATGAGATGAATGATACTTTGAAGGGAGCCATAATTGCTATTTAACTTCTCCGGATCATCGATCTGTGCAGGGTTGGGTGTGGAGCTCTGTTAAGAGCTGCAAACCACGCCCCAATTCCGGCATCTCACATTGTCCCTGAGATTGACTTATGCATGTCTAGGCTAACAAGGGGCGAAAGAAAGGCTACAAACAACAACAACTACTACTACCCACTTAGTGACTGAGATCTTGAATATTCAAAAGTCTCTTTTCCCAAGTTAGTCGCATCAATGTACTTCAAGGTGTGCCGGGAAAAAAGCGCTCCTCATTTCGTCGTCTTAAGTTCGATTATGAACGTTAAGGGCAGTAGTAGATCGACAAATGGCGAACCTGATTACACTTTCGATGCGCCGAGTTCTACTTCAAGGAGCAAGGTACGATAAAATGCAAGTGACCTATGGAAAGTACCCTTGGAAAAAGTGATTATGTAACTTCACATCCGCATTCGAAGGCATTTTGCAACAAAGTAGTTGGTGCCGTTAATAGACTCTCATTGAGGGCAAAAAAACGGATCGCAGAGGAGACTTCACACACTCAATGGTAAGAAACCACACGCAAGAATAAATAAACTTACAGTATTGTGATTTATGCTACAACCAAAAGCATGGTACAAATTCTCCATGATAATTTTTTGTAGGAGTGGTAAAGAAACCCTATTTCAGGTTCAAACATGCCCACGAATCAGTCGATCCATTGCACAGTGAGGCTTATTCGACGGGAACCAAAGTAATGGGAGGAGGGGTAGCGGGGGAATAAAACAAAATTACAAAAAAATAACAGTGAAAGAGTGCGCGCTCGCACAGATGCAAACACACAGACGTGCAAAGGGAGTTTATGCAGTCAACCTTGGCATGATGGGGAAGGGATGACCCTCCGTATTGAAGACCCATCGGTTTAATGGCAGTACCGAGTCGTCGCAGAAGATAAGGTAGAGGTATTTTAGTGTCTCAGCCAGGAAGAAGCTCTGCTGCACATCGTCCTGAGTTGGAGTTGCAATTGTTACATCCTTCAAACCCGAAAAACCGCCCTCCGAGCGACAGTGTTTCTCAAGGGCCTAGATCGCGACAATAAGAACAGTGATACTATTTTGTCTAGGTCTCTTCACCATAGAGGTGAAATTCAAACCAAATCCAGACGTTTACATGGTAAGAGGAAAAGGAATTGGGGTGTTGAAGCTGAATCGAGGTTTTTACACAGTCTCCAAATACACTCCTTCGTGTTCCCTGCTTTGACTACGGTTTGTGCACTATAATCTAAGAACACTATGCCAGAGCAAAGTGTTGTTTGGATAACGTGCTCCACAAATTAGAATAAAAACAAACTAATTTTAAAAAAATTTTTCTAGGAAGACTGTATCGGAGGAAAAGCGTAAGTAAAATTAAATATATGGATCGAAATTCTCTTCATCAACGAATGCGCACCTGAACAACATCCCAGGCATATTCCCGATACACATTGTCATGAGTGAACCGCCACATATAGAAGTATGACTCGACTGTTTCGGGTCGCAGAAGGTAGAGTTTTTCGTTTTTGAATACACTCATCGCGTCCACGTTATTGGTAAAACGAAAGGATTCAGGTCCCAAGTTTGTCTCTGTTTGGGCGTAGGACTTGCGGCAAGTCTCCGTCACTTGTTTGCCGCGAAGGAACCACACGTCGCTCGTGTCCTGCTTCTCAGCACCCAGTGCAAACATTCCACCTGGATTGCATTTAAGTTGGAAGATTAGGTAGACGAGGAATATACAGATAGAGAGGATAGTTTTAGTAGCCACCACCTACCGGCGAAACAAGCTAGATGACCCATGGAATTACCAGGGGAACCATGCTGCGAATCAGTGACGTAGAAACTGCCCATCTTACTGGTGCGGAGCATGTTGAGACGTTCAAAGGATTCTAATGAGCGATTGTAGAGCTCACGAGCTTTGGTGTCAGCATGGCCGGTACGAATCCACTCCTTGAGGAGGTACTCGAAAAAGGAGTCGCCCTCACCGGAGAGCGTCACCCTACGGTTACAGAAGACCTTTTGCTTGGCACTCACGTGGGTACGAAACTGATTGTCGGAGGCTTTGGAGGCTGCTTCGATATAGTCCCTAATCCGGTGTACCTAATTAACCAAAGTCAAGGAAAAGAGTAAAGTAAGCGGCTACAAAGATTAGACAAACGGCTAATCTGACGTTAGTACAAGGACCAACGCGAGAGCACCATTGTCAGCACAGACATTTGTTTAGTAATTGGAATTTACTTGCAGTAATGGAATGGAAGCAAAGCAATTGTTAGTCCAATTAAGACTACATTACTTAGATACTGCCAAAACCCTTTAACTTAAATTACCATTTTCTTTCTGTTATTGGCACCACAAATATGACTTTGGCCTTTGTCTGTAAGACACTAAGACAGAAGTGGAGGATTACTGGTCTAGGGATAATTACACTTATTACCTTCGTAAATGCACCAATAAAGATCTCTGGCTGTGGGGCTCTACTCACGCACGGAATAGACCCTAGGGGGTAGATTATTAGGACATGAGTTGTCACTTTTTTGTTTATGCTAGAAGGGTGAGGTGAAGTCTCAGCCACGACGTCGATAAGGCATGTTTTAACGCCATTGTGCGCCAACGTCGACCCTTAATCGCCACAATTTGGATTATAAAATGACTGTCTAGAGGCATCAGGATGGATTACGTGCAACAGAACACCTAGGAGAGCGTAAAAATTTTAAAGATTGCGACTGGGATATAAAGCAGGCTTATATAGCAGGTAAAGCATAAAACACCACAAAGCAAAAGGGGCAAGTGCATGTTTTAGGAAGTTCCTCATTGATAATTGGGTGTAAGTTGACAGAATGCATAGAAAGTGCATGACATACAATCGAGTACTTGAGAAGCCTGCATTGTCCACCACACCACAACCTGAACTATGTGTCATTTCGCTCGAGCTGCCACCTATGCGTTTCACACGTCATGAGCTACAAATCCTTGAATCGCAAAAATGAAGTTCCAATTAACAAGAGTGATTCCATCGCAAACACATAAACCAAGGTCCTAATGTACCATAATGCGAAGAAAAAGAAAACCGGAGAGAACCGACCACATACATAGTTGGAAAAAGATGCATAATTGAGTCCGCAGAAAGGTACGTTTGAAGATGTGGTGACAAGCAAAACAGTCGTCCGAGCCACAAAGGGAAAACTGAAACAGCAAGCAAAGCTAACGATTCAACTAACACTGCGGGGCTACCAGACATGACTTTGTGCTGCTAATACATACGGCATTTTCCGAACAAGGGGAGGTCAATTAGGAATGTTTTTTGCCGACATTGCTCTTGTGGGTTGCGCGTGATTTTTGTGTTGCGGTGGACGCGTCCATATGCATGCCATTAGCAAAGACACAAAAGGGTTCCAGACTGCCATTTTTTGGGAAAGAAAAGCCTAGCAATAAAAAGACGAGAGAAAGCTGACGAAATTTCGAAAATAGGCACATATAAAAGAATATTTTGAAAAGGAATGGTACTTTTATTCTAGTGCTTTAAGTGCTTGATTACTCGCGCATTTTCGTGACGGAGTGAACACATCGTACCTGAGTTTGAGGAGTAAAGCGAATGCAGTGAAACAGGAAAAAGGGGTAGAATGCTGACATACCATTTGACTGTATTTGATATCACCAGTAAGATCGGAGACGAACTGGAATTCCATATGGAGCGTCCCAATCTCGGAGAGAATGTGGCATCCGTTGCTTGCCCAGTTGAAGTTGCGGCGTTTCTTACTGCACGTAGAAAATGAAAAATAACAGGATGAGACAAATGAACAGGACCTTGCAATACTTATCTTAGCCATCGGATTCAGCATAGGTCGGAACAAAATGAAATTAGTCCGATTGACTTAATTTTCCATATCCCTCACTCATCTTTCAATGACCTCGAGCGTCTAAAATAAGACTACACATTTCCGGTAGTTTTGGCAAAAAAATTATTTTGTAAACGCATAACCAGATTAGAAGCATGCACAACCAATTTGATTTTAAACACAAAACAGTTTGTTCTCGCAAGATTTTATCAATCCGTTCAGACTGAATGAGGTAACATGACACAATTATTGCTGAGCCGAGAGTAATTCTGAATCCTGCTGCCTATGGACCATGCACTAAATCTATTATTCTTAAAGGAAATTATTCTCGCAAATACTCAAACACAGACGCCACTGATTCTTCCATTTAAGACTGCGTTATTAACCAACTGAAGCAAGAACCAAGATCGTCCTTTTTACTCCAAATCATATTAATTTGATTGTGAGAGGAATTGGGGTTTCGACTCATCACAATCTGGCGGGAGAGGCACGCGTTGAGAATAGGTGCTCGAGCGTCCCTAACTTCAGGATATTGCATAAATTCCATAAAAGGATGATGACAACACCATCAGCCAACAAGAGAATAGGACTGACGTTCGGAGATTGAAAAGGGAGGCTGGAAGACCGGTTTCGGTATCAAACGCCGGTAGCAAGCTGTCCAGGATGGAAACTGCACGATCAAGGAAAACCTGGCAAGACATGCAAAACGTCAGTGGATAAAATTAACACTAAGCTACAGCAAAATTAAAGCATTTTTTCGCACCAGATAGTTATTTGCATCCATTCCATTCTACGTCAAACTCAACTGATGGGTTAACCCGCTGAACAATGATTGCAGAACTTAGCAAGGAGCAGAAAGGAAGTTTCGAGAATTCTTCGTTTGTTGGCTAAACACTATTTTAATAAAATAATGCCGCTTTTATTTGTTGAGATTGCTTTGCAGGTAAAAACATGGCTATAAACGTGTGAGTGTCATAGCTAGGTATGTCAAGACCCAAGCCCTCTGCACTTAAGCAGGCAGCACAATAGTTTGGGAGGTAGCAAGCAATAAGGATGAGATCCAACTGTACAGTAGGAGAAAAAATATTTCATGACTCAAGAGAAATAGTGAAACTCACTCTGTCTTTCGTCATCGAGTAAATGCTCAAAAGACCACCAATGAACCGGATTGTGATTTCAAACACTGAAATCTCGGTTGGCTAGAGCGAAGAATTAAAAAAAGCTTTTCATTTTCGACCTGCAGTGCAGACCTTACGACCTTATTTTAAAGGGGCAAGGTATGGAATCAGGTACAAAACCAATACAGTGGACTACTTCAAAGAGGAAGAAAGATTTTGTGCTCAAACAGTTTGCATCGAATATCCTATTCACTGGGCATAGTGTACGCGGTTTTCCTTTGTTAAAAATCTACGTACGTACGCGTTCTCCCGCATCAATCGAAAGATCTTTGAAACGTCAAACGCTTGCGAATTAAAAACACCTGCCGCTAGGGCAAAGACGATTAAAAAGTGCTAAATCTCAGTCAAGCCCTAGGTAGGCCTGTCATAATGACACTACTCCGAAGGGCATGTGTTTGTGCTTTCAAAGCTTTGTGAATCAGTTGAGTTTAAGAGGTCTTGGGATTAGCAGTGAAAGAAACTAGATCAAAACTATGCACCCAATTACCTTTACACTTTGCGTGAAAATATTGCCACACTGCAGAAAATTAAACACACAGGATTTAAGTAATCATCGCTAAGAAGTGAAAAGACGTGCCATCTTCACATGCAGCCAAACATCTGGTCGTTCAATTAATTTTCTTCTGACAGGACTCGAGTAGCTGAATTTCCTGGGTGGAGAAAACTACGATTGCCCAACGCTTCAGAATCCAAGGGCAGATACAGTTAAACTAAGGAGTAATCGGCAAAACGACTACCTCGAGTTCAAGTTTCGAAGTGTTTACATTCAAAGTGATAAAAAAATGCGCAATTCGAGTGACCATTGTAGTGATAAAGCAGTTTTTTAAACAGGATATGTTCAAAGTCGGTGGCGGTGGGTAAGAATTCATTGCGACTGGAAGTAACATTTTCGTAGAAAGCCCAATCAAACAGTGAAAATTTAAGTCGAGACGACAGGAAATCCAAATGGGAGATGGTAGTTTTTGAATTAGCACAAAGCCTGTAGGCATGCCCTGTTTACTGTATTACATGTACAAAGGATGGAAAATGGCCGATCAGTTTGTACCAAAAACGAAATTCAATGGCAGCTAGGACGTGAAAACATCCAGAGTTTAAAAGACTACGTTCAAATGGCAAATCGAGAAAAAGACGTGTTCCACTCACCGCATTGGAGAAGTCAAGTTTGTCCCGGATCCACTTTGCTGCCTGTTTATACTCCTCCTCCAGCCCCATGATATAGAGGGTGTCGATGGAATCGACAATGGTAGCGCCAAGAGGAACACGACCCAGAATATCCGTATCATGGAAGGTCTTCGACAATGGCTTGAGCTCATTATGACCCCAGGCGTACTTCACGTAGTTGGACCAGGCATGCCTAGTCATCTGAGAATTAGAGTAAGCGCACATTCCAGAGCTTGCTTATAGGTATGTATATGAAATGAACACTTTCATTGAAACGATTATATTGCAGCTCTACTAAAGTTTTAAACATCTACCAAGTCGCTTAGGAATTTTAAATCAGGACAAAGAAAAACGAGGAAAGCAGAGGGTTGGAGGGTTATACTCTGTGGAGCTTAAATTATGACGCGCTTTATGGCTTGGATCTACTCGAATTATTAGAAGAGAGGTCCTAGGATAGGTGACTAAACTGTTTAATCATTTCATGGAAATAAAATAAAGTCGCTTGTAGTGTCAAACCTTTGTGTTCTAATTATCATTTACAATCCACCATGAGATAAAAGATGAATCAAGGAAAAATACAGGAATTTATTTTCCGTGAGTTTCCCAGGCTATGACCAAGAAATCCGACTACCATCAAAAGTTAGACTTTAAAAACATATATTTGGTGTAATTCATCGCTCACTTCTTTAATTTTCTCTCGCTTCTCGGCAGCGTCGGGGTCATCGTGGGCCGCCTTTGAAGAACCACGGATCTCCTCAATTGTTACCTCAGGCAGCTTTATAATTTGACTTTCAGGAGCTACGAAACCGTCTGCTCCTGGAATGAGATCGGGGATTTCAAGGTTATCCAAGTAGGCTGCCTGTCCTCCTTTGTCCACCATCGGCACTACTGGTAGATCCCCCACCTCCTCAAATGGCTGCACCTTGGCGTGGACGCCATCAGAGAGGCCTCCAATACCACTCTTGCGTTTGCATAAGGGCTGAGGGAAGCGAAAACTAGTGCACCTCTATTCATTTCTCTACATTACTGAAATCACTGATTAGTGTAAGCGACAATAGGCGAGACACTATGTGGCACCGCGTGCGAATTGCTGCAATTCGCATCCGAAGGTTTGATGATTCCGTACTTGCAAATTGTTAGTAGAGTAGATTAGCAACTTAAGTATGAAGAGAAGAGAGATTTGATAACATGCAATTTTTCCGATTCCCTTATTTCTCTAAGCACTACGAAAGAAGTAGAAACACCACTTTATAATATAGTCACACATTCCACTAAGAAAAATACTGATATCAAAGAAGTCAATGAGGAGTAAATGACACCTATACAACAAGAGGAATAAGGGAAAAATCAAGAAGAGCGTTTCAAAATATGCCATATGATGTGATGTAGACACTGAAAAATGCAGCAACCGCAATCAGATTGCAATATACTGGGAGAGACTGCGACCATCAAGGATAGATAAACGGGGTGATGACTCCAGTTTTAAAAAAATTAGGTCAAGGACAAAGAAACTTACGCAGAAATTGGAAAGGTAGAAAAATCCAAGTAGGGCGGTAAACAAAATAGCTGCGATGGCGAGAATTCGATTCAGCTTAAGCGGGCGAAAGGTAATGAGCCTTAAAAAAATAGGAGCTTATTAATCAACCTTCCCCACGTAAAGCATAGGTTTCACTTCGTAAGATCTGAGGCAAAAATTAAAAGAGGAATGACTTAACGACAGCCAAAAGGCAATGTATGTAGCTATGCGCAAAATTGCCCAGTTATTTCATATAACTCGAAGAAAAACGATATGGATCATGTACAAAACCTGTCCAACTATTTAGTAGATTGCAGTGCTAGCAAACGAGCAAAACCATTAAAGTTGATGTGGATAAGACTGATGATTATTCCTCAGGATATGCGTTGCAAAAGCAGCCAAAAACACATAATCACCAAAGTTTAACGCCGGGCCCTAAATTGATTGACCTCATTACTAGGCCACGGAGTATTAAATGCAAGCTGCATATCATAAAAGGTGAAATCAAGCGCACTTTTAGTCAAAGAGAATGGGTGAGATACAACACTAACCATGAGTGCCATTATGCTAAACCCTAAGAGAACCTTTGCAACAAAATCTCTAATAACTGGGTAATTTGGAAAGCAAAACTTAACGACCAGACTAGGAGAGCAGCTCGTAAGGATGATTTATAAAAACGACCCAATTGAACACCACAAGCTTGTTCATGTTAAGTTGAGTCTTGCTATTCACATGTATATGCAACCAAAACACGAAGTACCAGCAACTACTTCATTAATATTCGAAACTACTGTGTATTCAAGACGCCGTATTTATTTATACAATTATTACATTTTAAAAAGGATATGGATGGAGCTTTTGGCCCATGTGGGAGATTTGACTGCCATATTTTTCACAAAGCTCACTAGATTGTAGATAAAATCTAAAGGCACCACGAAACTGCACCAGAATTGCAAATTCTGCTGCTTGCGTTTAAGGAGGTCACCAATTTGCCGCATAGAATAACCCAAGTGATTTTGTTGTATCAAGCAGTACGAAAATTTTGCAACGTGCTAGACGGAACGACGCACTACGCTGAAACTGTATATGCGATGAAAAGAGGCATGTAATAGTGCGAACGACCGGCCTTTCTAAAGGAAACTTAAAACACGTTATCTAAAGGAGGGTGCAGAACCAAAACGCATGGTCAAGAGCCAGTTCTGATGGGTGCTCAAACTAGAAACTTAAAAACACGTGCCACAAAACGACTTACATACTATCGAATTACTCCTAGAAGGATGAGAACCGAACAACGACCTTGGGCAGGGCCAAGAACATAGCGATTGAACAGGCTGATTTTATTTGATTAACTATAAGAAAAGTTATTTAAGGCAGTTACTACAGACATTTCAAAAGAATCTTTTGCACTAAAAAATGTCTTCTAAAATTTATAAGCTTTAAAGTAAAAATGCTTTATTAAATCATCTGGGGATTCCTCTTATGCGTTTGTTGGATCGATGTCACATCAGTTGCACTTCTACTGCGTTGCTCAAATATGTTTTGACTGTGCCTATAAGACGAGCGTTGGGCTACAACTCGAGTCTGATGTGCGATAAATGGGTCAGAAATAGTCACAGCTTCAGCTTTAAATCTTTACGCCGTATAAGAGTTTATACTATGTTGTTTTTAGCACCGTGTTTATTTGTAAGGTAGTCGAGATTCATACACTTAACTAGGTTGCATAAATCAGTGATGTGGCACCAAAATATCAAACAGTTTTGAGTATCTTGGTGTAGCGTCCCGAGGCTTCCTATGGGGTAGTAA